CCTGGGGCCCTGCCTGCACCCCCGGTGCTCACGCGGGTGCTCACCTCGGCACAAAGAGTCTCTCCTTGGGGGCAGCCAGGACCCACAGTGGCAGTGGGGACAAGGTGAAGGCCGTGTTCCCAGGGAGTGAGGGTCCCCATGGACTCACCCCACACTCCTTTTCTCTGTGAACCGCATCCCCATCATGGCAAAGCAAGTGCTGGACCTGTACACGCTCTACCGGCTGGTGACAGATAAGGGTGGCCTGGTCGAAGTCATCAACAAGAAGATCTGGCGGGAGATCACCAAGGGCCTCAACCTGCCTACCTCCATCACCAGCGCGGCCTTCACCCTCCGCACGCAGTGAGCACCCCTCGGTGGCGGGGTCACCTACCCTGGGGTACCCACTGATTTGGATGTCCCAGAGCCCTGACCGGGGTCTGGCATGGGGCACCCCAAAAGGGGATGGATGGCTCTGCCCCTTCCCAGGTGCCATCCCCACAGTGGTCCCTGCTCTGTGTGGGAAATGCATGATGCTGGGTCTCATCCTGGCTCTCTCCCTGTGCAGATACATGAAGTACTTGTACCCCTACGAATGTGAGAAGCAGGCGCTCAGCTCTCCTGGTGAGCTCCAAGCTGCCATCGACAGCAACCGGCGGGCGGGACGGAGGCAGACTTTCGGCACGGCGCTCTTCAACTACTCACCAGCCGGCACCCCAACCCTGCTGGGGTCCCCCAAAATGCCTCTGCCAGCTCTTAGCATCTCCACGCACAGCTGCAGCCAGCTTGGCCAAGTGCACACTGTTAAGAAAGGTGGGTGAGGACCACATCTGACCCATGGCAGGCATCTCTGCCTTGGGTGGACACTGCTATGGCAGCAGAGATGTTCCCTGTCTGCTCTTGCCCTTTTTGCTTGGGGAAAATAGGAACTATTTTGTTCTTTTAGTCCCTTTCTGGGACTGAGAAAGGTTTATTTCTTCTGGCTTTGAATGAGGACCAAGCCTAGATCCTGGAGGTGGCGGGTATGCCATGCCCCATGCTAGTGAGATGGAGGTGGCACAGCTGGGAATGGTGAGATGGGGTGGTGATGGGGGTGTCCTCTGAGCACTCCCGGTTGTTGTAGAGGACGGCATGCTGGCAGCAGCGGTGCCGGGGCGTATCGCTATCCCAGTGGGACTGGCTGGGGCACCGCTCC